TCACTTCTTCCCTGTTACACCAACTAGCCATATCTTCCCTAGCTAAGCTGCTCGCTGTCCCCTTCTCCTTTGCATCCTTTGTCCTTTTCGTTGTCTGCTCATAGCAGTAAACAGTCTTGGCTGGGGGAACATGCTAAATATTGACTAGTCCCATTGGTTTCATAAATTGTTCTGCATTTCTCATGTCAGGTCTCTACTTAACAGACTTTTGAGTGGGCCATAAAAATGAAGCGATTTTACAAGTTAGGTTGATCTGGGGAGGGAAGGTAGAGGGGGAAGAAAAAGGGAGAGTTTGACATGAACATCAAGGGTAAAATTTGTGTTACTGAGTACTGTAAATGCTAGAGGGAGACCTGGTAGCAAAATTCAGTGTTTCTCTACATATAGCAGCAAGGTTGCAGTTATAAATATATCAACATTTTAACTGTGATTCAGGTAGTTACTCATATTTAAGCAGCCTACTTCACTGGCTAGTGAAATTAGTTGGAGGTGGGTTTTTTCCTCAGTGTGTTGTCTGGCTCAAAAGGTGGATGCTTCCAGGTATGCCTTGTCATACCTGGCAAGCTGTAGGGCTTGTAGTCAGCTGAAGACTCCTCCTTTTTCTTTCTGTGGCTGTATAATTACTTGGCTGTTTTTTTCCCCTTTGAAAGTGGAATCTTATTTGTTTATACCTGCCTCCAGCAAGTGACTACTCAATATGAACAAATGTTGCCAATATATTATATTTGTACTCCTAGTTTCAAGGAAAATATTTTGCCTGTGATAGGAAATTACTGGAGCTTATGAGTAATAATATCACTTCAAACTCAACATCACTGATCCATTCCCTTCATCTTTTCATGTATCTGATAAAACAGCTGTTCATGGCTCAGTCCTCTCTTCTCCCAGTAACCAGATTATCTTAATCGCTTGTTTTCCACAGGCCGGCACTGTGTGTGCCTTGTTGGCTGATACTGGTACATGCACCTCTTGCTCAAAACACAGGAGTTTAATGTTGTTGCTAGCTGCTTGGCACTCCTGTCTGCTAATCATTTATGTAGGCACTGAAGCCTGAGTTGGCCAGTCAGCCTGCTTCTTCGTTAAAGTGCCTCATCCCCAAGAAGCAGTCTCTTGGCTTTTAAGGTCAGAGCTTAAGATTGTGAAATTTACGTTGCTTTTTGAGATACAGGTAGATATTTCTCTTGCTCAAACACCTACCATATAGTAGAGCCATGACATTAATATTAATTTGTGAGACACTTTCCATTAAAAGACTAACTCCACTAACATCTACAGAAACAGGTATCTTCTACATGTTCCTCCTGATTTTCTTTTTAAATTTATAATCTCCTAAGGGACCAGTTCTGTCAGCTGAATGTTCACTGGGTCCATGGGGCCTGATGGGACTCCTCCCCAGAGTTCTGAAGCAGCTAGCACATGTTACAGCAGAACCCCTTACAATCATCTGCCAAAGGTCTTGGAAGTCTGGGGATGTCCAGGCTGACTGGAAGTTAGCCAGTGTTACTCTAATTCACAAAAAGAGCATGAGGGAAGATCCAGGGAACTACAGACTTCTTAGTCTAACCTCAGCACCTGGAAAAATTAGGGAGAAGATTCTACTGGGTGCCACTGAAAGGCATTTAAAGAGTAACGGAATCATCAGGCACAGTCAACATGGTTTCACAGATACTCTGTCCTTCACAGCTTCCTTCTGCACAAGTTATACAGCTGTTGAGTGGGTTCATAGGACACTGGATGAAGAACTGGCTGAAAGGCAGAGCTCAAAGGGTTGTAGTATATGGGACTACATCTGGCTGGTAACTGGTCACCCTGTAGTGTTCCTCAGGGCTCAATCCTAGGGCAAGTGCTGTTCAGTATATTTATCAACTATCTGGATGCAGGAGTTGAAAGCATGATTAGCAAGTTTGCTGATGATACCAAAGTGGGAGGAGCAGTTGCCTTTCATGAAGGACAGGAGGCCTTGCAGAGGTGTCTAAGATAGATTGCAGCATTTGGCTATGATTAATGGGATGAAATTTAACAAGTCAAATGCCAAATTCTGCACCTAGGGTATAGTGATGCTGTCACAAGTACAAAACTGGGAGAACAGTCCTGCAGAAAGGGATCTGGGGCTGCTCAATAGGAGTCAGCCCAGGCAGCCCAGAGATCAAACTGCATCCTGATGTGCATTAGACACAGCATGACAAGCTGGGCTGGAAGGCATGTCCTGTGAGGACCAGCTAAAGACTTGGGGTTTGTTTAGTTTGGAGAAAAGGGGGCTGAAAAGGGTGACCTAATTGCTCCCTATAGCTTCCTGAGGAGGGAAAGTGGAGGCTGAGATGCTGACATCTTTTCACCGAGATGTAGTGATAGGACACATGGGCATGGTTCAGAGATGTGCCAGAGGAGGTTTAGACTGGACATTAGGAGGCATTTGTTTGCTGAGAGGGTGGTCAAACTGTGGAACAGGATTCCTAGAGAAGTGATCAATGCCTCAGAACTGTTAGTGTTTAAGAGGCGTTTGGATTATGCCCTTAATAACATGCTTTAGCTTGGTCACCCCGAACTGGTCAGGTAGTTGGACTAAGTGATCACTGTAAGTCCCTTTCAACTGACCTGTTCTGTTCTGTTGTACTCACCTGGTAAAAGCAGCATAAATCCGTAAGTAGTAATAGTGCAGTAATCACAAGAGTGTTGTCACAATGGTGGTGATGAATATTGGGAAGCCAGGTACAAGCAAGTCCTCAGCTCAGACACCCAAACAGCAACACTTGGCTGAACTCTCATAAGATCAATTCCAGAAAAAAATACAGAATTAAGTTCCCAACATAAACCCTCCTTCCTGTCTTGCCTCCATCCTGTCAATCTGTCTCAAACTTTCATCTATGAATCTGATTATACTGAGTATTAGTTACAGGCTCATCATGTTCCACTTGCTACAAGAGACTATGTCTTCCAAGGAAGCATCCCTTACATACAGTCGACAGAGGATGGCCTGCTTCCTGGGCATGCACTTAGTGTTCAGTCACAGCTGATCCCTTGGATTAAGCAGGAGACACATTTTGGAGCTTATTTTTGCCAATGAACATCAGGGCATCCATACCTTACTTGTTTTTCACAAGCCTGGGTTGAACATGCCTCTTGCTTTTAGTTAATGTGGACTAGCTGCAGGTTGTGCAAGCTTCCTTTCTGTTATTTTTTCTTTCTCATCTGTTTTTCTGTTCAAATCCCTACATGCCACCATGGGAGTTTTATGCTTTTTCTGCATGTGGGTTTTATTCCTAATCACAACAGAGATCACTGAAGCAGTGAGAAAAACGTAAGTTAGATAATTGCACTCAATCAAGTACTTCTAATTCCCAGGCTTTATTGTGTTCAGCCTTTTTGGTTTTATGAATTGTCACCTCTAGACTAGCTCAATTACATTTAAAAAAGGAAAAAAAAAAAGTGCTGCTCACATTTACTGATCTAATATTGTCTTAAATTCTTCCATCTGTTTGAGACTCTGCATCTGAGATGCTCCGATTTCATAAACTCACAGTTTTATTTAGATTCTGTAATAAAAAAGGCATATAGAAACAGACTAGGCCAAATGCAAAACCATACTGTATTTTTTTTAAAAAAAGATTGTTTTCAGAGATAGGCTCATTTAAGCTGTATACTCTGTGGTTAACGGGTTCCTGAAAATAGGCTTCCTTCTAAATAGTTTTGATGTTTGTTTTTTTTTGGTTGTTTTTTTCTTTTTTTTTTTTTTTTAAACAATACAGTAACCCAGAAAAATCCGTTTGTCTTCTGATTTTTTCCTTAGCAAGTGAGATAAAATTGCATGAAAACCCAAAGAAGAATAATAAACTTTGTGCAGTTTCTTTTAATTTGCTGAGGTTTTGTCTTTTATTCCCAGTGTACTGTGTCTCATTTCATTTTGTATTAACATTTTCCACTTCTGTGGTGTGAAGTTTCTTTTCTGTTTTATATATCCTGGCTGGAGGACTGTGGGCACAAAACTCTGGGTGCTTTTCTGATAGACTTAACGTGCTATAAAGATAACCAGAGCAAAAAGTAGCTGGGAAAAGGTAGTGTTGATATTGCAAGCACTGGATTCTCAGGCTGGAGAAAAGAATCACTTCTACTGAAATCCCATCTTGTCCTACCAAAGAAAAAATTCCTTTAGTGAGGCTGTTTACAGTGGGATAGCACATGTACATTAGATAATATTTTCATGCTGACACTGGAGCTGGGAATTTATTGTTTGAAGAGCTGATAAATAATTAAGGACAAACCAGGAATCTTTATTTTCTTACAAGTTATTTTCATGCTGGATTTCTGTCTGGGTACCATGTGCAAGAAAAATGGTCAGAGGAGGGAGGAGTGGGGGTAGGAAGATGGTCAATATAAGGTCTTCAGAAATTGTTGTAAGACTTTGCAGTGTGTACCTTTTCTTTAGCTCAGTTCAAACAGTGCAGGGAAAACAAATAAGTACAGTGGGTTTAGGTGAGGGTTCCCCCTCTCCCAGCTTTAACTTAATGGCATCCATCAGCATTGCATTTCAAAGGAGTTTTTTTCAATGCAAGGAACATCCATGAGTAGACTTCTCCCTGTAGTAACTACTGTACATCGCTTGTTTGCCCACTGAAAATAAAAATCCAGGGATGATGCAGGAGCAAGAACTTGTTTGTATTGAATGTATTATACAGAAAAATAGGGATCTGGGGGAGAGTACATACTGAACATCCCCTGTTTGTGGTGCTGTGGCTATAACAGACCAGATAGCTACACAACAATTTCTGGAAACCAGAGCTAGAAATTCTTACTGAAGCTTCAGTCAGGAAGAATTTCCTTGTTATCAGTCACATTTAAAGCTTTGAAACTATATACATGTGATTTTAGTTGCTTTGGTTAACTAGGGCCTTTCTAGTCAGCTGTTTTGGTTTTAGTTTGGTTTTTATCCCAGCTGCTGAACTACACTGGTTCAAATTTTTTTTTCTTTTTTTTTTTTCCTTTTTATTTTCCTCGGTGCTCAGATGAGTATAGGATCAAACCAGTGGAAGAGGTCAAATACATGAAAAATGGGGGAGAAGATGATCAGAAAATAGCAGCCAGGAACCAAGAAAACTTGGTAAGGATCGAACTTATCACTTATCTAATGAAATAACATGGCTCTGCTTTTGTAATGAAATATGCAACGTGCAGCACATTCAAACTACAGCTTACATGTGGCAAGAGGATTTTCTTCAAAATGTCATAACTCTCTGTGAAGCTCACATAGAAGGTGCTAAATACGACTTTTTCCTGCTTGTCTTTCTGAATTAGGCTCTACTTGATCTTGGAATGAGTGCTTCCCCAGTTACTCTCACCCACCTCCTTTACAGGCCCAAATATATGCACTTTGAAATGCATATTTGCAAACAAGCTGGTTGTAAACCAGCAGTGCTCTACCATTAAGAAAATGACCTATTTATGTAGGTACTATTTGCTCTGTACTTCCTGGTTTTATATATTTTAAAACTCACAGAGAAGGCAGTTCAGAATAGAAAAAGCAATATATTTGTGACACAGTAGTTGAAAGAATCATTTTGTGCAAGTTTCTTTTTCCCTGATTTGAGCACCTTGCCAGCTTGTAGTTTCACTTTCTGGAAATAAGTCACAGGTAAACTTAATGCTATTTAAAATGACTAGGATGCTGTTGAAGCGAATTAAAAATCATGGTGAGTCACATCTGGCATTTCTGATAAGTCATTTCTTCATTTCTAGAGCTGAAGGAATGTAGATTTTTGTAATTGGCTGACTGGGGGGTTCCCAGGTTTAAATTTTTGAAGTTTATCCCACAGTTATGATACTCAGGTGCAAAATTTTACTTCTGTTTACACTCATTCATTGCATCATTTCTTCATGTAGGGTTGCTTTTTTTTAGTCCCTTCCGTCAGTAAGACCAAAGGGGAAATGCCATCATCAGATTTCAGTGGAACCATAACTGTTATCACCAGCTGAGGATTTGCCTTTTGCTGTCATTGGGCAGCTGTACAAAAATCCACTGTTTTTTTTTTTTCTCTTTTCCTGAAGATACAAGTGAGCTCCAGGCAACTTGGATACTTCATATTCCATATTCTAGACACACATACTTGCATTACATAACAACACATGTATTCCTGTAATAAAGAGGGTTTATTTTGCTGCTCTAGCCTTGTTGCTCGAGTACTGGTTGAACAGCAGGAAACAATTTCTATTTCAGTCTCCAGATTAGGTATTTGCCACCTGCAATTTTGCACTGCTGATGCTCTGGTGGATGGCGCAACTTCAGCTTGAAGCAGGGTTTTGAAGTTTTTTCCAGTGTCTGAGAAACATTGCTGAGAATATCACCTTTTCTAGCGGCATCTGCAGTGCATTCAGCTTTATTGCCAATGTAAGCACGTTTATTTTGAACTGGAAGAAGTGTGACTACAAGAATTTTTCCTCACTGTAGAGACCCCAATGCTTTGCTGACAAACAGAGAAAAAGGAAAAATGAGCAAATGAGCACATTCCCTTTTTTTTTATTAGTATAAAAAGTGGGAAAAGTTTAGCAGGCTAAATTTTAAACTGCCCCTCAGCTGTAATGAAATTAGAATATTTGCAGAAGATAAGATGCCACTTACATGATAACAACAAATAGTTCAGGACATCTTAGGTCTGCTGAGGTGACGCAGTTGCTGAAGTTGTATTCAAAACTAGATAGAGATATTTTGCACTTTCATTAGTGCCCGCTTGCTTCTAGCACTTAAAAGTTAGCCTGATTAAATTTAGGAAGAGACATTTCTACAGCAGAGTACTTCTTATTTTATTACTGACAGATCATGTTTAATGGGAGCAGTTGGTTTTGGAAAACATATCAGTATGGAGTTGGAGGGCTGGTATAGCTCTCTGTCATGTCTGTTGGGAGAGAAGAAAAAAAAAAGACAACACAAGAAAGTCTTCGATCAGACAGGATGTATATACTTTAAAACAGAAACCATCTTGCACACCAGAAAAGCTTTATTTTCCTTCTCCTCATCTTACTATAAGGAGATTACATTGTAATGTATGCAGGTTTTTAATCCTGAGAATTGTCAAGTCCTCATCACTCCAGGATTTTGAAAGGGGTTTCACAGTTCGAGTTCTCCTTAGTAAACATGTTTTAGTTCACTGCTTAGAAGATGGGTTAAGCTACCCATCACTCAGGCTTTAATTTTCTTAACGTGTGAAAAGTTGGCAAGCACTTATATAATCCCATCTTCTCATCAGCCATTTCCAGGCAACAGAAATTTTAGGAACAAGAAAAGGCAGTGGGAGAATCGACTGGCTCTTTTCTCTGCTCTCTTGTTTCTTAATCCCACGTTTCCTTATTGTCAGAGGGCTGCTAATTCACATCTCCTTCAGAAATGCAGCCCGGATGAGATGAGTAACCTGAATCTCATTATAGTCTGTTCCCTGGGAACTGCCCTGGTGTGGGGTGTCTTACCCTCTGATAACTTGTGTTTGAATTAGCTTACGCAGATGCCATCAAATTTTTTGGTCTCATTATCAACACTGTTACTTTTTTAAGATATTTTGAAGTCTTGCTTAAAATAAAAATCTGCTCAAGTGAAAATAAAGCTGCTTCCCTTATAACTTAGGCTCTTTGATGTGGTGCCATCTCTGCCTTTAGTGTTGCAATATTTCTGAGTCAGGAAGAAAAAAGGTCACACAAGTAGATAAAGAGAATGGGACGACATGGCAGTCACTAGGCAAATTTCCATTTTGTACTGGGGCACTGTATTCAGGGTTCCAGGCTTTTATTCTGTTCAGAGAGAAAGCTGGAGAAGGGCTGGTACGAGCCATGGGTGTCTGTGGAAGAAATGGGGCTCTGTCAGTGAACCACAATCTTTTCCACTTCAACCTGAGCCTTAAGCAAGGCTCAAAACCTGAGTAAGTCTGAAATTGTAAAGCAGAAATACTCTTTAAGATGTATTAACAACAAGAATGGCTGCGCTAGAACTGTCTGCCAGGTGAAACAGAAAATGCTGCATGTGAAGACATTTTCTGGCATAATCAAGTCTTTGAATTAAAATATAGGCTCTTGAAAAGGAGGTGAGGGGATAGGAGGGGGGGTGTGTGGAGAAAATAAGAAAAGATAAAAAAGCCAAGCTTGTTTCAGACTCTGCCAAAGTCACTTTTTATTTTCCTACTGTTCCTTTGTATCCATCAGCCTGATTCACTTCTTTATCCAGATAGTTTCTCTGCTTCTCCACTTGCCACTGGGATCTCTCTGATCCTGGTTTCATTCATAGTACCTCTGGCTCCTGGTACCTTCCTGAGCATCCTGCCTGGGTTCTCCATCAAAATAAAGCAAGACATGTTCCACTGGGTGGGAAAAGTCTTGAGCTGGAAGTCACACGTATCCTTGTAGCCTGCAGACAGGAATGAGATGTAGCAGGATTAGGTGCTGGAGAGCTGGGGTTATGCTGCATGCTGGCACTATGTACCATGTGCTTTAAGAACTGCTCAGCTAAATCAGGGATATTTGAACTCTGATCTGTAAAGAACTAGTAAATAGGCAAAAGGAAGAAGTTGTTTGTACTACGTACGTTTTTTAATCACAAGTGTTGGGCTATATATATTTAAGAAAAAATTGAAATTATGCTAATTTTCCTATGAGATGGTGAGCATGAATAGAAGGTCTCAAGTGTGTTGTTATTCTAGAGGTAAATAAGCAAATGTGATGGTTATTTGTGCATTGAGAAGCAGAATGGGTGACTGTGATGTTGTATCAGGGTCCAGGGTTGGTGTGGCTGGGAAGGCAGGTGAGCCGACTTTGCCCACCGTGAGCCAGCCTCTGAAGGTTGTTGTCTTAGGCAAAGCCGAGACAGTGGTGTCTCCATGCACAGCTTGGACATGCCAGCATGGCAAGTGGAGTAATGGACCCACATATGTTAAAACTAAACCTCAACTCCCTGCATATCTACAGTAATTCCACAAAGATGAGTTTTCCTGCATTTCTGCATCTTCTTGGGGCAGACTAAGGATTTATGATGAGCCTTCTCTAAAGCAAAGAGAGTTTTACCAAATTTGAGTTTACCATTCAGCAGCTCTGGATGGTTTTTTTCTGACCCTAAATATTACCAAAACTAATCACATATGTAACTTACCTGGTTTTGTTGCTTTGGAAAGCTAAAATGCTAAAATTAGGGACTATTAATACTTTAAAATCTATTTTAAAATGTACCTGCCACAAGCTGGTATGTTCAAAATAAATAATATATTTTACCATTTCTAAAGAACTATTTTATTTTATTTTTTTAGTTTGGAAAGGACTCACTGTTCAGATCTACACCATCATGTTAAATATACAGGCTACAATCATAACAGCCTGCTTTACATTCATAATTTGTCCATAATAAGGACAAATCTAATTGTTCTCATTTCCATACTCTTGCAGCACTAACGGCTTTCCACTGTAAAATTTTACTGCCAAAAAAGATAAAACAAGAAGGTGTGTTGTATTCATGCAGCTTAGCAATGCTTTAGCAGACTTGATGAGCTTTATTAGTTTTCCTCTGAAACGGTCTGTAGTAGTACAGATACCTCTGAAAATATCAAATACATAAAGCTACTTGTTTGTGTGTGTGTTAGGTGGTTAACTTGATATTTATTGCAGTTCAGTTTTTAGATGATTTTGTATAGAAAACTTTTTCTGGTTTTCATTGGCATAAAAGGCTACTTACTGGGATTTTTATGCTTTGTTATCCAAACCCTCAAAACAATCGGGCATAATCCTCTGTTTTGTCCTGAAGCTCTGTAGTGAAATTGTATGTTAGCTTGAGATGAATTTGTGATGGAATTGAAAGAAAATTGTTTCTCTCTGTTGCTCTTGCTATCTCTCACTCTGCCTTTAATAATGATGTTTTTGTTGTTTGGGTTTTTTTTTTCCCAGTAAGTGTAAATTTCCACTCCACTTACCTGCAAATGTAATTTTTTGTCAGCCTTGCATGTGCTATTATTTCTTATGCCTTGAGCTTCTCAGCCCAGCCGCTTTTTGCCATTTATCATCCAGCTCCGTAATCCTTAGTATTGCAAAACTTCAGTCTCCATAGCTCTGTATTTAACACCAGTTATTTTCTGCAAT